TCCACCCTTCCGAGGTCGGTTAATTGGTACCAGACTTGTCTGGGAGGATAAAAAAAAAGTACTGAATTTTATATCGGCTGGCTCCCGGATTGATCAGCGGCAAATGATTTGTCCTATATTTATTATTAGTTTTGAACCAATGAGTCTCCTCAGCCCCCTGGTTTTTTTTCGAGATTTGTCTTGGGTGTGGATTTGGCCAGAAATTTATCCCCGAGGGTAGTTTGACCTGTAGACGTGAACATGACATCTGTTCGTTGCGAGTTTGAAACTATTCCACGGGTGACTGCGCAAAACTACTTGATGGACCCGGAGAAATTCTAGCCAAGTCCTAGCTCATGGATAAATTTTGATCGAAACCGGCTGGTTTTGAGGAGTGGGGCAGTAAAGGAGTAAATAGTGCCGTTTGCTCTTCTGATGTCACTATTAGCAAGGGAATGAGTAATATTTTCAGTGCTAGCGACCTAGTGATAAAAAATCCGTCTGGAGAGATGTGCGACCGCATTGTGCGTAGCGTTTGTTCCCACCGCGCGCCGCCGAAATTAGCCACTTGCTGGCCGCACGCCACCCGACCACCCAGAGTGGCGCGGCGATTTCGCACGAGTGGCTAATTTCAGCGCCACGATCCAGAGAAAAACGCTGCGTGCGACCGTGGCACGACACAATAGACATGTGGACCCAGGGGCCGGTGCAGCAGTACCCGGCCGAAGATGGGTCCCCAAAACAGCATCTGGACGCATCCCCCTATTCTTGACCATGAGGACTGCGCCATTCGGGGACCATTCCCGGCTGGGTGTTGCTGCACGGCCCCTGCGTGCGGGCTGATGCTCGTAGGCTTGGGTAATCTTCAAGAGGGCTAAAACTGTGGGTTATAGATAGGGTCAAGCGAAGTGTCGAGGAAAACAGAGATACGATCCCTCCACCCCCACACAATTCATAATATTATCTTCGCGTTTTTAACGTGGATCTGGCAGTCGTACACTGGGCATGATCGTGGGTACCGGACAGGAGGCCCGTCACGCGGCAAGAAGGCAGAGTCAGCGGACCAGTCGCAGCACATACGGTAGTGATTTCGCGTTGAATAGAATGTCCTTATTGTGCGTCCTACATCGCACACCGCGCGCTGCAACTCGTCGCTGACCCTACCTTCTTGCCGCGCGACGGGCCTCCTGTCGGCTACCCAGAGGGATACGATTATTGGTGAAATTTTCAGCACTTCATAGCACGCAAAGTCCAATGCAATATTCTCGACGTTTTACGAGGTGAAACGAAACGGATAACTGAAAAAAGCTTGATTGATCACGAGAACTGGAAATCACAGTTCTAAATATACACAATTTTTGACTATGATTTGAATAGGAGCTCCATTCAAAGGACAACGACTCGAACCTAACGGCACAGGACAACAAAAAGAAATATGAGTACATGTTGACCTTGCACAATTTCATAGGTAACGTAATAAAGCAAAGGTAAAATCTCGCGAATAATCAGGCTCTATGTCGCAATCTTTATGGAAAAAAACGTAAATAGACAGCAATACAGGGTACAATCCATGTTTTGGTATGCACTATAAAAAATGTTCTTTTATGAAAAGAGAGTCGACCGTATTCGCATTGAATTCACTCGTAGAACGTCGCTTTTGCATCGTAATAAACAAGTAAACAAGTAAAGATCGCATTGAACGCAATACCTATATCTCAAAGCAAAACAAAGAGCAAACGATTTTGGCGCGCATACAATACTGCTATCACAGGGGAAAATGAGGTCTTTTCATCCTCTCATTATTATTATCATTATTATTATTATGAACAGTGGGTAATGGTTATTATACTTATTGATTTCTGCAGACAGCTGGATGCAGTAGGGCTTGAGAGCAGCGGTGCAGTTCCATCCAGTCCGCATGGTAAGTGAGAAGCATGAACGCTGGTAGGCGGACCATCAAGCTCCAATCACGGCCGATGAAACCTAATATTTGTGAAGTTAATAACTTCTAATAACAGCTGACAAGTAAATTATGATGTAAGCAGACTATGCATAACCTTCTTCTTAGTTTAGCACTTCACAAAGTAGCGTCTCTTTGTTAACTGCTGCTTTTCGGCTCGCAGTTCGCCTTGCGAAAGTTTCACACGAATACTGGGTTATGAACAAAACTTTCACCACCGGTTTCGGGTAAGCGAGAGGTGTTGGTTCGACTCCCGCCTGGGGCGAAACTTTAGTTTATAACCCAGTATTTTTGTGAAAAGTAGCATTTCTGTTCAGCAAGGGTTGGAAATGGTGTAGTGGCAAGTGACGCTGCTAACCACGCACACGGTCCAGGTAACTCTTATACCGTACCGCATCCGGGAGTCTACGACTCGCTTCTAACCTCGGACGTAAGTATTGGTACAAAACCTGCTGGGGAAGGTAACCCTGACTTCTACACTAGCTGGTCCCCTCAATTCCCTGTACAGACCAAATCGCATTCAAAATGCGACTACTACTTTGATGGAAGCAGAATGCGTGAGGAAGGCATCTCAAAAACGGATTGATCAGTGCCGATCACTTCATCCCTTACCGTTTCTCTATCCACCACAAACATTGGAAAGCTTAGTTAACGTCTGGCAGCCGGGCTTTATCAGCTTGTTTTCCACGAGGGTTTGGCTTTTTGGCTTCAAGCAAAACCGAAAAATAGCAGTTCTAAGGAGCGACGATTTTCGCGGTCTCAAAATTTGTAAGGCCTGCGATATCTATGCCTCCTCGACCTTGCTACGCTCCCTCGGCTCCGCTTGTCGTGCTGTCGCCTATCTTTAGATTGGTTATCTCTCAGACCCTCTCCTACCGCCCAGGAAGAAAGAGTGGCCAGGAAAGAGTATTTGAGGCATTTCCAGTAATTTTTTTCATTTCTTCTTCTCCAGCAAGCCAATTAGTACCCCCACTGCTTCATATGCGAACCCAATAACTATACAGTTCTTGTTTTCGTGGATTGCGCCTCTAGAGTTCATCAAAACTTTAGTGCGCAAAGCCTGTAACAAGGTTAATGATATCACAATCATCAGCTCATCCTACAAAACGGCTTTTTGACCTACTCTGGTTCTGCGGCACGACAGCAGACATTCTATGCGCTAACTTCTTTTAGAAAATAGTTCTGTAAACAATACCTAGTAAATATTCGGCTCTCTTCATGCACATCCATTTCAGTAGCCTTGAAATCATTCAGCTCTTTGCGAATAAGTGCCTGAAATCTCGTCACGTAGGAAAACACTGGGGAAGGAGTTTATAGCCTTTAATGCTACCTTATCCGTAGATGTTAATCTCGTCCAAGGCTTGTCCGCTTTCCTATCGTAAGCTTGTGCCTGTGTAACTTCAACATAGTCATTGAACTGAATAATCTGCTGCTCCTTCAACTGCGCAATCGTTGGCCGAAAACTCAACTAAAATACCACAAAATACGACATTTAATTGTGATAGATAGGGAATAATAGGGCATTTAAGCTACCGAAACAAGCTAAATTGACCTTTCTCAACAGAAGCTTCCTTTTTTCTTCCATCGATCTCACAGCAGCTGTCTTCAATATATTTCGATCTTCGAGTTCTTCAACACTGGGGCGCTCACTCAACTTTCTAAATAACAAACTCATGAGTGAATAGAAAAGAAAAAAACTCAGAAAGGCTAGCTGACGCAACTTCTGATCGACCCCTAGCAGCCCCCTCGTTATTTTGAAAAAGAACACGCTCCTTATCCCTCAAGCCCCAATTAAATTCTATGATACCGTGCAAGTTTGATCGAGGCGTTATGCATCAGAGTTCGTCGATCATCTGCAGTTTGGCCGCTAATGTCGTCCTTACACGGCGGCGCATCGAGCCGTAACGCCAGAGTGTCTTTGCGAAAGACCTTTGCGGCCAGGCCTCCTGAAGAGATCAACTTAAATGTCAGAACCAGATTGTTTAAGCACCATCCACTACTGCCCATAATGTAGTCTACCCAGAATAGAGCTGCGCCGGAAGCATTTGTTATGTTATTTTTACTGTTCGACATGCACGCTCGACCACCAACAACAGTTGACCTTTTTTTCGCCAACATCTATCCACATATTCGGCCGCTCCGGGACTACCTGCTAGGAACGAGTTGCAGCAAACTCCGGTCCCCAAATTCTTTTCCCGCGTGCACGCACGCTCACTTACATTTGCCTTTTTACGTTCAGATACCTCATGGAACCGAATTACGAGGACTTTAAGGAAAAGCTGTGCACTTGAAGGCACGCTTTGCCCATTGTGGACGGGCCACTGCCAGTGCCATATGTTGGAAACACCTTAGAAACTGATTTCCTACACAAGTTTTCTGCTCTGCAGTTTCAACTGGTACGAAATTTTACCATTGTGGAAACGTCTCGCACAAGGTGGGGCATCTTTAGATCGACACGGTTATCACTGCATCTGTCTTACATTGTTCACGGTTTCTGCTTTTGGAACTATATCGAAATTTACTTCAGCCTCACCTGCGTACTGGGCAAAGTTCATCAATTTTCGGGCTGTACGGATAGCAAGGAGAGAATATTGCATAATTTCCTCTAATCAGGGAGTTGTGTTATCTTCCTTTATTGGTATTTTTTATCTGCGATAGCTTACAATTCTGAATTGATGATAAACTGCGTTCTATTCACATGTTGTCAAGCACATGCTGCTCAGTGCGATGCACGCCACGCCCACTATGGGCGTGGCTCGGCTCGGTAAAACGCTTACGTGTACTGTACTTTTTAGGCATAACCATCCATCATCGCTGGTCTTCTTGCTACATATTAAAGGGTCGGTTTCTGATTGTTCGCGTTTCCCGCATAGCAACTGGGTGCAAAACAAAAGCAACAAATTTACTTCACCATAAATTAATTCCTTATGGGAATATCTCCTCTCGTCTCATCAAACCTGACGTATGGAGAGGCGGCGAGCGCTCCTAATGTGTATCATCATTTATATTTCAATCGAGTGTTATCACTATCGCTGTATCAGTTCAGGCGTTGGTAAGTCACTCTGATATTCGATCATGACATTGAAAAAACAAGCAGCGCCTGACTTGTGTGAGGGGACTGGTACACTGCACGTCAGTCCTTTGACACACACGGTTTTTTTGAATGGTTTAAGGCAACTGTCATAAAAGCATCGATAGAGACTAGTCCAAGTGTGTGCACCCCGTAAGGGACAACACGTCCAGTCAGTAACCTTGCCAATCCGAATCAATTCCGTAACGGCTATAGCTTTTGATGAGCTGAAGCCGTGGAGGGTGGAAACAAGCTTCCTCAGCACGTGGCTTCTCAGGTCGGGCTGCAAATTCGCCGGTCCTAAAAACTAATAATTTGAAGAGATTCGATAATCAGTGGTCGCCGAGATTGAGTACATCTTTCGCAAAGTTTCAGCCTTTACAGCACCGTTTACTATAATAAGCTGAAAATGACAAAAAAAAAAACATTTCCGGACAGCTCACGTAAGAACAGAAGGAAGTAGGAAAAACTGGAAAGAAAGAAAAAGTAGGAAAGCTTGCCTTTGCTATCTTTGATGCCCACATAATCCTTCAATGAGAATGCTGGCTGCACCGACTTAGGCTCGAGTATACGATGGGTGCCATGTCAGTAGCTCACTTCTGAATTTCAAAAGTTCTTCATACAAAGCCTTTGACTGTTGCTTTCCTAGTGAATGCTTGCAAATCATCACGAACCTAAACCACAACTGATCGTTTAGCGGGTATTAAAACTTACTGCAACCAAAGTGAGAATGCTTACGCAATCGTTGTGAAGTTTCTGTCAGACTGTTTGCATTACACATCAATGTGATTCGTAAAAGTGGAATCCATTTCCATTCGCGATCATTCTTTCGTGTGTTCTTTGCCGGACAGTGCTTGCGCCTACGGTTTTTTCCCACCCTGACCTGAGCTCCTTTCAGTTCCTCAACCAGGGGTACAATTATTTGTACTATATGAGGAATTATTCTATTCGTGGGTTGTATATTGCTCGAGTTCCCTTGAAAAAGAAAGACTTACGCTCATCCACGATCTGGCTATCCTCCTGCTGCAATGTGCTCTCGTCGACGGGATTCTCAGCGAAAAACGGAGGGAATGGCGAGATCAGTCATTTGAACCCTGGCCACTGAAGGGGGAATCAGTTCAGCTGGCCTCACGCTAAACAAGCAATAAGTAGCCGTTGATATTGAAGCCTTCTAGCAAAAAGGTCATCACTGCTAGTGCATCTAACACTGCTATATTTTTCGTATAACTTCGTATAATGTATGGATGGTCGCCGACAAGGGGCGTGGTATATATTTCAATTCGAGCGACGGAATTCTTCGGCGAAACTCAATTCGCAAAGTCTGACACCGACCCAAAAGTCACCAAGGTAAGCGACCTGAGACCCACGGGATCGGGCCCCATTCTCACCTACCGATTCAGGAGCTCATTTCGGATGGCCGAGTTCATGCCGACAATCGAGCTTACCTTGAAAATGGGGTGCCTGGGGTGAAATGAACTTTTGAGGACGGAACGTATAGTAAATTCAACTATTCAAACTTTCTGTTAGCATTCTAGGACGCCTGGAGGAGGGCTCCCTGTTGGAAAGGCCGGCAATTACACGGCTGTAACCCTTGCAGGCAGCCAAGGGTGCACTTTTTGCGTGGAAGCACCAGTCTCCTGTCTTTCAGAGCCTAATTCCCTATACGTAGAGAATATACCCTCCCCAACGTCAAGTTAATCACTCACCTAACTTAAGACATTATGACATTATCGCCCTAAATTTGGCGCTGGAGAGGAGTAAAACTTCACTACATGTGCTGACGATTGAGGGACGCTCGTTGGCGGTATGGCAGTCAGCTCGTTCAGCTGCGGGAAGATCTGAAAGAATAACATGTAGCGCTGCATCACCATTCATACATTTCCTACTTACTTGACATTTTACAAAATTACTTGGCATTTTTCCAAAAAAAAAGCATTTTTGCGATATGAATTATTCCACTAAAAATAATATACTTCCCGTCAAATAAATGTGATGCTGAGGAAAAAAAAGGCGCAAATGGGAATCAAGCAATTATTGGATATTTGCAAGTGCCATCAACTAGACAAGTACCACAACATATTGTGCCAGGATTTCTTCATTGCACAATTCTTACTGGAGATGTAATAATAATGTTAATGAGATCTCCACAGAAAAGGACAGGTCGTTCTGAAGCTCATTTCCTGCATAACTGCTGTTGTTTACTACCTCTTTCAACTAGTGTACCACTTAAGTGCAGCCTTTGAATGACAGACATGTAAGGATAATGGCTCTATTAGGGGCCAATTTCTCAAGGACACTCGTCCAAAATTCTACTTAATTGGGGCAATACACGAAAATCCGGAAGTATAAACGAGGAAGCACAAACAGCCAAGGTTACGGGTGTTGAGGGTGGCGGGGAGGGATACGAATGAAGGGAAAAAGAGGCACTACAGAGGAAGAAGGGGCCCCCGGCCTCAACAAAGTCAAAAGCGCAAAAGGTGAGAAAACCGGCTTGGATGACAGAAGACAAAAAGACGATGAAGACGCCTAGAAGGGTAAAGGAAACAAAAGCTACATCAAAATATTGCAAAAACAGTAGGATAACTTATTTCTTGATTTTTTCAGAGCGGGTGTAGGTAAGCGAGATGTGACATTTTTATGACAACAGGCGAGTGTTGTTTATAAGACGGGGAAAATTCACGAGCTCCGAAAACAACTGCTGTGTCAGCGTCGTCAGCAACTGAATTCCAGAGAACGTCAAGCTAAACTCAATGTGACTTTTGGCGCCATCGTCAAATAGTTTACGAAACTCTTGAAAAGAGGGTGAAACGAGTCGGAATTGTTGACAGTCGCCTAAGACACTTGGCGAACGCCAGGTGATATGGTTGAGAGATAAAGAGCTATGACAAGAGCACTTTACAGCCTCTCGTTTCTTGACAGTTGTCACGGAAACCCTCTTGAAACCTACGGTATGTAACTGTAACGTCAGCAGAGATAAGAAGCCAGTGGCAATTATACTTCTCTAACCAGGGAGGGCTTTCAACTTCCACGGAACTTAAGATGAAGGGTGTCCCCCAAGAGGCCCATCGCGCGGCGAAGGAAGAGACGCAGACGCGGCAAAGGACGAGTCGCAGCGCATACTGTAGCGGTTAGGCGTCAGGTTAAATAGAGTGTACCATACTACGTCTCATATCGCACAGCACGCGCTGCGACTCGCCCTTTGCCGCGCGATGGGCCTCTTGGGAGACACCCTAGGATGGAGACCTAGTTAAATTGATAAATAGGTTGCAGAGGGTCAGCGGCGCGCTCCGCCTCGACTGGTTTTTGAGAAGCTTGAGCCACGTGATCAACCTCAGAAGGTCCCTTAGGCAGGTTGCCCTAGGGCTCCGTTTAAGCTGCATTTCTACCAGCTCGCCATGACGGTGGACCATCCAGGCCGACGTAATCCAGGCTCCGATGAAGGCGATAACGCCGAAACGTTAGCCGAATAAACTATTATTGGCAATCTCGGTTACAAGCAGAATTATTTTGCAAAAAAGTAAGCTGTAGCGCGAACCCGGGATTTTTTAATTACGCAATAATCTGTGTGGGGGGGGGGCTAATATCGAATTCACTCACTTGCTGTGGCTCTTCGTAAAAAGTGGCGTGAACAACTTTATTTTCGAAGTTCATGTTACAATATTTGAAGAAAAAAAAAGCAGAAAGGAAGCCTCGAAGGAATTGGAAACTATCCGCGCATTGATTGAAGTTGAATTTTGAAGGACGGGCCTGCTTGGCGTTCCTTCAACATTCAATTCGAATGACGCACACAGAAACTCGTCCACTGCAATTGCGACGTCGCGGCCACGCCCATTAGCGCGGGATGCGGACGATTCTGTTGACATACAACCGGCTCGAAGTCTCGCGACTTCGCGCACTACCCAACACCTTGATTTCTACCGTATCAGCGACTTTTTTCCTTTTTTCACCAACGAATCGATTAACATCTGCAACTCCACTTGAACTCCACTAATTCGATTTTTTTTTATCACTGAGACCTGACCCTTTAGGGCCATTTCTCTGAGGATACACTAGTTAATACTCCCACAGTTTCACTTCAGAATGCACATTTGAACTTTATGTGTCAAATCACTTACCACTGTTAGTGTTTGCATAGGAAACCGAGTCGCCCGAAGTAATACTTGACTCTAGGGGATTATGCAAATTCGGCAGTGAAGGAGAAGGAGGGCACGCTGCCGAAATAGTCGGAGTTAACCTTCTCGAGCGTTCGCTGCCAGCTCTAAACGAACAGGAAGTGATCAATGAGGAAAACAAAAAAATTGAAAAACAATTTCTTTTTGTCAACCTCAACTCCAACAGCCGCCATTAAGCATTCGAATAACATTCAAGTGGATGGCAAACAAATGGATGGAAAACAATGACGAGTGTAGAAAAAAACTAAAAGTCAATTCCTACGTGCCCAAACAATTTCACCCTTTTTTTGGAGCAGTGCTACAGTGCTATGAAGCAAATCTCCTCGGACCGTATGCAGCAGAGTCTCCGACCGGGGAGGGGACATTTCTCAACATGGGACTCATCCCCGGCCGGGGACATCCCCAGCCCCAACTGCTGTACGGCCCCTTATTTGTACGAGTGCTATTCTAGCAGTTCCCAGAACGCAAAACATTCCATTCAGTAAGAATAAAATTACAAAGGATTCAAAGAAAAACTCAAGAAGTGAGCAAGCGAATTACCTCTGCACTTTTCGTCTCATATGCCGCCATTTCCATGGCCGGATCAGACGGAGCCAAAATTTGGTCGAACGGAACGGCAGCGGCCGACGCGGTCGTAATACGCTGAAACAGCGATTGACATACAAGACAGGTACCAAACGCGTTCTCAGGACCAGCACAGGACAAACAAAATATGAGTGACGAGGTAAGTGAATTTTTTACTTGAGTAGCGGGGAAGAGAGCATAATTAGAAAAAGGTAAAGAAAGCCGTTCGCCACTCCTTAATCAAACCTTGGGCACGTTAAATTGGAAGCCTGGACTCGGTTAAATGGAATTTTCCGGGAACAAGAATCCCGATATGATCGAACTCTAGCAAAACACTGATCATATAGAAATTTGATGTGGCTTGAGGCGGACCGCATAGTGAGAAGTGCAAAAAGCCGCTGGAGAAACTGCAAGCTGAGTCTTCTTTCAGAATGCAGATTTTGAGAAGGCTAAATTAAAAATCCAAAGCAAAAGATGTTTATGATATTCCCCATGTTCACTATGACATGTTATTCGCCATTTGTGTCGGTCCGTTCGGAGGCGAAGGTGGTGAGGCGGGGCTCACTCTAAACCTATCCAGCGTCTGTCAGTGGTGTCGGCTGCAATGCAAACACGTGCAGGACCCTCTTGAGAATCCCACAACAGTAAACACAAACGGCGCTTTCATACACTCTAAAAAATCTTAAATTAGTCGGTGTACACGGATATCGCAATTTCAACTGCTAACGTTTTTGATGGAAGTGGCAGCAGAGGCAAAAACTGAATCCGTCTTCCTACACAAGGAGGTTCGCTGTGGCTTCGGTGTTAGGAGAGAGGAATTCAGTTTGTTGACGTCGCCTCAGCTGGCTGTTTTAAAAGCGCATCGCTGGCGCGATTTGAAGCACCTCCAACTGGGAAAGCAGATGGCTGGAGGAGGGACAGTTGTGATGACGTCATTGAAAGTCATGGATTAGACCAGGGTGAATATCGTTTAGGATATCCTCGACAGAGGGGGGGTCGCACAGGCTGGGCATTGGGCGGGTCGTATCGGAGTAGGGGTAATATATTCAGAATAATCGTGGGCAAATAGGAATAAGAGGTGCCAACTATATAAAGTTATGCTCATTCAACGCTTTTTCCTCCTTCCTTACTGAAGAGCACGGAGGGAGGGTATTTTTTCCAGTTTGGCTTCCGTCTAAGGGCACGTGCGAAACGGAAGTCGAACTAATTCTTTGATTATTCCCCCTAAAAATTTCTAATTTCTATGTTTTTACTCAAACCTAACTATTTTATTGTTGTTGGGGACGCTGTCGCAAAACGACAACCGTGAAGGAATGACCCTGCAAATGAGCTGTTCCCTCTGTTATAGGAGTTACGAAATGTGTTTACTACAATGCAGCTTCTGTCAACTGGTCATGATCATATGACACCTTCGAATCGATTCTGCAACTTCGAGTGAAGGTCGGATGCATGGCCTATACCCAGACAAAATTCGATGATGACGATTGCCCCTTTTCCTTATTGCTTATGTTGGGAAGAATGTATATGAGACACATTTGCCAAAAATTGCCACTTGCAATGGTGAAGAAGGAAAAGCGGCTTGAGCGGCGAGAATCATCCTCGAAGCAAGTCTTAAAGGACGAATTCACGATCAGAGGGAAAATCGAATTAGGAAGAATTCACCTGGTTGAGGGACCCGCGGAGCTCCTAAGTGTGCGAACTGAAGCACAATTTGCACAGGAGGAGTTGACCTCGTTGACCTATTAAGGTTTAATCCCGCCGCGGCTGGTCAGTGCACGCCCACCGATCATCTGATCACTCGCCGCAGGTCTATACGTGGTGAGTGATTAGATAGGTGAGAGAGCGTAGCGTTGAAGAGGGCACAGCGATGATAGTCGCATCAATGCTCAAATCAACGGGCAAGGAAGTGGTCCCATTTCTCAGGTTCTGGGCCGTTTCGCATGGTTTTTCCTTCTTTAGTGTACCACTCACCATCGCTAACTTAATTTGAAATGGGTTGCCTTTCCAGCGTGAATTCGTCCTTTAAATGGAGATTAGAAGGGGCTCAGATGTTAGAAAGAGCAACCTGTCCGCTTTTCACGCTGGATTTTCCAAGCTCTTCGAGATTAGAAAGATATTGCCTTAAGTGGCAAAAACTCGCATGAAAAATTTCAGCATCCTCGACGTTCCCTCGACGGATTTGAGAGACTATATCTCTTCGAATGGAAGGCTTTCATAGCAATTCCAATACTGCCTGATAGTAGCAAATCTAGCTCTATCTAACCCTACCGCGTGCTGTTCAAAAGGTTGGGAAATGGAGGAATGGAACCTTTCATCGAGGGTGTAGATTTCGACGATTTTTTTTCTTCCTCGGCTGTTGTGTTTGCGTATGCTCTGTTTTAAGGGGGTCGTGCCAAGACCTCGATTTTAGGGGAGGGGGTCGTACTTCTGCGACCACGTCCGCGACACGATTTTACTTTAGACCTCATCATGTTTACGGACGGAGTGGGCTGGGGATGCCCTTATCAATCTTCCCCCCAAGTTCAATGACTCACGCACCGTCTTCAGGATGTGGCATGGCAGTACCTTAAAACATGATGGTTAAGCGATCTTTAATTATAAATAAGGACATTATGGGCCCACGTGAGGGTTAGATTTAGGCTACTGGAGGCTGAGCTAGCTTGTTATGTCATTCTGGTTTCGATTTGTTATGCACGGAGATTTCCTAAGATGAGACTGTAAAAAAAGTCGGCATCATGCGATGTTGTCCTAGCAGTTATGATATAGAGTATATCATGACTGTAGGATGACTACTTATAGTTCTACATCTAGGATTTGTAGTTAGAAACTAAACGAGATGCACGGTATCGGTGTTCTGTGCACTTTAAGAGTTATATTGATTCTCGCGAATAGAGCACTTTTAATAACTTAGGCGTAAACAGGGAGATCTGGAGGAATAAATTTGGTGAGTGGAGGGCGGAAGTGGTGTAGTGACAAGTGGCGCGCTCACCACGCGAGCGGTCCGGGGATCAAATCCTGGGTCGTGAGTCGCCCGGGCCAACCAAGCCTTCCATCCCTCCGGGGTCGGTTAATTGGTACCAGACTTGTCTGGGAGGATAAAAACACTGACTTGAACATCGGCTGGCCCCCGCAAGTCATTGTATAGGCCACATCGCATTCAAACGCCACTACGAATGTACAAATGGAAGTAGAATGCGTGCCGCATCCCAAAAAGGGATTGATCAACGGCAAATGCTTTATCCTTTATCCTTTAATTGATCATCGTAGAGAGCTCCAATACATGCATTTTTAGATACCTGCTGTAAATATTTAAGAAGCTTGAATGATGTGAGCATTTTGAGCACCACTGTTGAACGCCAAGCGCTTTTTGTAAGCCAGTTACTGGGTACCGAAATAATAAGAAACTTACTTTTCTCTGCTAGGATAACTCGCACACGAATCCAACTTCATCCAAACATCTTCTGAATACGTCAACCCTAAATGAAAATTTTTAACACAAGTTATGATCGCAAACGATAACAATGCGTGAAACTGGCAGAAAATAAAATTACAAAAAGGGATATTTCTATTCTGAAGCGAATCGTACGTTGAATCCTCTCAAAGCAGCTGGCTTGCGACAGCGAAAAACTAGTGCGAACCCTGAGGTTCTACATAACAAGCCGTTCGAGGAGGACGGTATACTTGATTAGAATTGGTAGAGGAGGTGGCAGCAAGAAAAAAAAAAGCAGGGAGCAAAAAAAAGCGATCAATTCGCTTGTTTTTCATCAGACTTATTTTAAAATGTTTGGTAGTTAATCTTAAGTTTTTTCAGACTTTGCCTACTGGGAGAGATTTGCATAACTCAGCAATTCTTGTGACAATACTGATAGGATCAAAAGACAACGATGCTAGATAAGGTTGGCTACGCAGACTGTCTGTGAAATTGAGCATATCCATGGTAATCTATTGGTGAACGGAAGTTGGATATGCGTGGCGCGTTATTCAGGATCACGACGATGCGAAGGCCTTGTTTCTGTCCTTCACCGTGCGGGCCTTATATATATGTACACACTTGGGCTGATAGGAAGGGTTTAAACGTTCAAAGGTCAAAAGCGGATGGTAAGCTGTACTAGGTCTTGAGCGACAACAGTTCAGTAGAGCATTACAAATAATGTCGGGGCTTGTTTCAGTCGCCCAAATATTAGAGTAGGTCGTATTGTATTGGGGTCGTGGTTAGTCATCATGCGTAAGACATCGGACGTGGAAAAAAAAACTCCACTCGACAGCCTACAATGATCCTGAACCTTGGTGAAACTCTTCCGACATCATCAAGTGGAAAGGAAGCACTTGGCGTTCGAATGTGGTAAGCGGCAAGGCGAAACAGCCCGCGTGCCGCAGAAGAAAATGATGATTGATCAAAGGGAAGAGAAACATGCATATGTGATAGGAGAAAATGAAGAAAGCAGCGCCAAGTTTTCTAGCACTATTTTGAGGGCTAATGATGTGTCCCTCATCGGCACTTATGAATGTGAAAATAGGATCGTGAAGGACGAAGTTCTGAAGGGAAGGCGATTTTGACCAAGGGATACGATTGCGTTGTATATTAATGTGTTTTTTAGTAAAAGATCACATTCTGAATGCTCCATTGTATGGAAGTATAGAAAAAGATACGTTATTGCCTAGAAATGGCTGGTCGGTGAGAGTCCGGAGGGAAAACTCGACGAATATGGCACTATCGGAGAAATAAAAAGGCAAGATCCGTATAAAATTTCTTGAGCAATTACTCAAATGTGACGTAGGGGTGGGAGGTGGACCGCCAGTGGAGAAAAAAGGAAAAAAATCATGAAATACACAGGAAATACGAGCCTTTTGCTCTACGCTGCGTAGAAGTTCAAAAGGCCAACAGGGAGATGAGAGATAATGTGAGCGGGGAGAGCGGATAGAGAGAGAAGTCGAGGGAGAGAGCAATAGCCAACAACATTGCGATTGCAGACAAGATCGGCGGTGAGGAGCGCAGGCGGCAAGCTGATAGCACTGGTGGAGCTAAAAGTTGTTAAGTTCTGGCGTCTAACCGTAACGCATTTCGACGTAGAGAAGTA